CATACATTATAGACATAGCCATTCCAAACACTCACAATGTACAAAACACATGCACAGAAAAAATTAGCAAGTACACAGAACTCGCCCAGGAAGTAAGGCATCTGTGGAGGATGGAAAGGGTGCTTATTGTACCTGTAGTTCTCTCCTGTACAGGTGTGATACCACACACACTACACAAAAGCCTGGGAACATTACAATTGAATAGAAATACGTACATCACACTACAGAAGGCCACTATATTGAGTACATGCCATATTGTTAGGAAATTCATGAATACAGACACTGACACACTTATTTAATTTTAGTTTTGTTTTGGTTGCTATGCCTTGACTCTGGTCCGCATAGTACACAGCCACCGGTCTCAACCGAGTATAACCCACTAAACACAACAAAATAATAATAATAATAACACAAACACACACAAAACACAATCCTATCACAAGCCTGCCTGGCAGAAAAAAGTAGAAACACAAATAAATGACATTAGACAGCAATTAGGCAGGCTGACACAATACACTAAAAACAACATAACACCCAAATTAAAAAAACAACTCAAAAACATTTTCAAGAAAATCAAAACACACACAAAACACGAACATCACAACACACACATTACAGAATACATCGATACACTAAAACAGAAACTCGCAGCCAAAGCACGTAGACTCAAANCAAACAAAAAACTACTCACAGTGTTACCCAAACTCCAGTTCTTGTAACGGTTTAATTGCTGGAGTTTGGGTCACACTATGAGTAGTTTTTTGTTTATTATTTTTTAATATTTTATAGCATAAATTTGTTTTCTTCACAAAATATATAAGCAAATGCCTGTTATACAAAAGTATGATCATTGAGAAATAATTATATATATAAAATTGGATTAAAAATTACTATTGTGTGTCACGGGCAATAAATAATTTAACAAACTAATATAATTATATAATTTATATATGTATATATAACGAAGTCTTTATTAATGCATATAAAAACAATAATCTTACCCATAGCAAGATGAATAGTAACATTGGCAAAGATAAAAACACACAATACTGCAAGAGACATAATAAACATGTAGAAATATCTATAATTTCTCTTTCCAACACAATTTCCAACCCATGGACAATGGTGATCAAAACGTTCTAGAAAAAAAATTATCATTTTTATTTTACCTTAGAAAAATGTTAAATACAGTCGACCTCCCCCTATGACACTGTTGATAATTCTGTTTTATATGAATTCCATGTTGTACGAGTCACTTAGATTTTACAAACACGTGAGCTGTTCACAGCCCAGCACACGTATTTGTAAAATTTAAGTGACTCGTACAACATGGAATTCATATAAAACGGAATTATCAACAGTGTTATGGGGGGTCAACTGTAGATAAAGGATTAGCGCTAGAATTTATTACTAATTTAAAGCTATATTTATGAATCAATGAGTTTAGTTTGTTATGATTACAAACTAAAATCTGAACAAATCTTATATAACATTGTTGTTCTGTCCTGATTGCCTTTGATGGCACAATTCCAACACTTTCTGACTCTCTCAAATCACCATTAAAATTTATAATAATTTTTTAAACATTATAATAATAATAATAATAATAATAATAATAATTCTACTGTGGTCACCACCTGGTCGTGGTGGGAGACCCAGTAAGGTCTATGATAAGAAATGAAGCTAAGAGTGACCACACCCACATTCTGTGGAGATATTTATCATGGTAGTAACCAGATCAAAGTGTGATACCGGCTCGGACATCGCCCGGGTTAACAAGGTCCGCGTTCGTGGGTTAGGCAGAGGCTCACGTTCGAAAAATAGGCTCCAGTCTCCCTTGGTTACCGGTGGCGAAAGCAGCACCGGCCCAAGCATGGCTACTGCAATGCCCTCAACAGATGTGAGGAATCAACCTAGCCTTGGTGTTTCTGTGGCAATGCATCCACAGACCACAAAGGCTGGAAAACCACGCCAACGGATGAAATGGACAACAGAAATGAACGAGTTTATCATCCGCACTTACTACACCATCACAAGACTCGAAACAAACATGACAGCATACAGACAACAACTACACCATAGATTCACACAACAATATCCTCACCTCACTGTCACCGAACAAAGGGTTGTTGATCAAAAACGAACAATTATACACAACAACCTTATCCCACAAACAACACTTGAACTTATCAAACAACAGGTTGCTGATCAAATACATCAACAGACAGAAACATTTAACATTAATGAAGATCACGTAACCTGTCAGGATAATCCAGCAACAAGCACTGATTACAGCACACACACAACAAGTACCACTAATGATACTGCAGGCACTTCCCCATCCATCACTGATAACATAGACATAGAATTAGTTAATACGCTCTCACTTATATTTCAGGAAACACTCACTAAATATACAGGTACAGATCCCACACAAAGACCACGAATACCGAAAATCAACACGTCAAAGGCAGTAGGAAAAACACTAGATTATGTAAACACTCACTTACTACCAAACTACATTCATTCAATTTCTACACTCTCAGACATTCATACATTAGTTTATGCTGGGGCAGTCACAGTAGTAACACACCATGGACTGAAAATACACTCACAGACAGACACACACAAAACACAATTCTATCATAAGCCTGCCTGGCAGAGAAGAATAGAAACACAAATAAATGACATTAGACAGCAATTAGGCAGGCTGACACAATACACTAAAAACAACATAACACCCAAATTAAAGAAACAACTCAAAAACATTTTCAAGAAAATCAAAACACACACAAAACATGAACATCACAACACACACATTACAGAATACATCGATACACTAAAACAAAAACTCGCAGCCAAAGCACGTAGACTCAAACGATACAAAACATGTACACTACGAAAACAACAAAATAAATTATTCACAAACAATGAAAAACTTTTCTACAGACAAATCAGTACCAAAACAAACACTGATACACAGCACAGTGGCACACCAACAGAAGAAGAACTCACAACTTATTGGTCTTCTCTTTGGTCCAATGCTGTTACACACAATGCTGATGCAGGCTGGATCGAGGAGGAGAACAGAAACTTGCACAACATACCAACTATGCCCTGTGCTGAAATAAACGTACACGACATTCGCTACGCTGTTAACAGAACACACAACTGGAAGACACCTGGTGTAGACAACATTCACAATTTCTGGTACAAAAAGTTTACATCACTGCACCAGGAACTAGCTAAACATCTAACACACATCATCATCAATCCACAAGACATGCCAAAATTTCTTACTCAGGGCATCACCTACATGAAACCTAAAAACAACAACACCACAGACCCCACACAATACAGACCAATTACATGTCTTCCAACACTCTACAAATTATTGACATCCTGTATCACAAACAAAATATACAAACATGTTGAAGAACACGACATTCTTACAGAACAACAAAAAGGTTGCCGTAGAAATCACAGGGGATGCAAAGAACAGTTACTCATAGATTCAGTCATTCTACGGCAAGCACACAAACAACACAGAAACATACACATGGCATATATAGACTACAGAAAAGCATTCGACAGTGTTCCACACAGTTGGCT